AAAGCGATTCGCGCTAAACATCTAAAACAAGTCCTCATTATTTACTATTAAAATACATATATAAAGTCCTTAATCACTAAATTTGAAAAAAAATTCACATATAAAGTTTGATATACATCTATACATAGTTTTGATTTACATAGTTGAACGTACCCCCCAGCGTCACATGGTTGACGTATATATCATGTAAAAATTAAATAGTAATTCGGGGTTTTTAATTTTGGCCCAATTCCAAAAATACGCCCGAATGTAAAGTTAAATTTTAAACCATTATAGAGAATATTTAAATATCATCATTTTGCTGAGTTGCTTGCGAAATAGATAAAGTAAATGGGGATCGAGATCTGGTAAGTGAATTGGCCTGGCCTTCATTTTAATCATTATTTTCACAATTGACTTTATCGGTACGTTGTTTTCGGTTTCATTACTATTCTTTCGACGGGTTTCAATTTTTACCGAATTTTGGATGAATCTCTATAAGTTGAATAAAAATCGTGAACTTCTATAAAAGATGGTTCGTTTTTTTTCCTTAGTATCAGCATGTTTAAAAGAGAAAGATATTTGAATTCTTAATTTGATATCATTTTATGTAAATTTTTTAATTACACACGAGCTAATAAATGACTGATACTGGTCGGCTGCGTAAGCGGCCGATCAGTAGTGTTCCTAGTTGGTAAGTATCTTGCCAATCGATTAGCTGCCGACTATAGTTGCAACTAATCGATTTTTCATATCATGTGATTAATTTGTCGATTCGCCAATCAAACTAAAGAAACCAACACTGATTAGCCCGACTAACGAAATAAGTTGTCTAGTTGTTTTCAACTAAATGATTTGGATCACTACCGATCAGTATCAGTCATGTACAGTATTTCCGTTATCATTGCTTGGGATCATCCACTAGTACCCAACGACCCAAGATATTATTATTACTAAAATTGCTTGAAAGCGATTTAATTAAATCGATTATAATCGATGCTTTCCAATTTATCGATTACAATCGAGTTGAAATTATCTATCAGTTTTTCAATTTACAATAAAAAGAATAAACATTAAGCCTTTTATTGTCCAATATAAATGAAGCCTGTTAATGCCACCTCCAACTTTTGTTAATGCTACTCTACATAACTCTAATTGGTTTTTAACCCTTCCGGAAACTCATGAATTTGCACTGTTTCTAAGTACTGCCTGTAGAATTTTCATGGTTAGAGATCGGTTAAGGTTATATAAATATGGCATTAACTATAATGTAAAAGGGTAAGATGGCGAATTCAATAGAAAATCTAGTGTAAAACGTGGTATATTGATCCAAATCAAATTATTTTTATACCAATCGATTCGTCTCACCGAGACGAATCGAATAGCTCATTTCTGATCACAGGATCACGAGATATCAGCATTTGAACATTGTATAAAGTTTAGAGGTATTGTGGCAAATTTGTGGCGAATTCAATGAAATTCGAGATATATTGGTCCAAATTGAATGATTTTTATATCGTTCAATTCGTTTCTGAGTCGAATTGAATGGCGCAAAAAAAAACAGGAGGAACCGTCGATGTTACACACACCTGTTACCACACCCGTTTGCAGCACAAAAAAAATATTAACAAATACTGGATAATTCCTCTAGTCCATGTTACGATTATAATCCCTCACCCTGTTGGATTATAGTCTAACAGATGAGGGATTATAATCGTAACATGGACTAGCGGAATGATCCAGTATTTGTAAATAATTTTTTTATGTGCTGCACACCAGGTGTGGGATTAGTTGTGTAACATCGACGGTTTGTTATAAAGAAATCAAACCATCAGGTGATTGTTATTTTTTTTTTGTTTAATGACCTCGCCCTGAGTCTTTATTTTTAAAATTGGTTCCAGTGAGCGTGAAAGTATAAAGTTTCTATATATAGTATATAATTATCGTTATGATAGAAAAATTTGTTGTATTTCTGTATTGGGTATTAATTTTTTTTTCGGTTTCAAGAGTATTTTAAGGTCAAAACTTTATATTATAGCAAAATATGGTAAAAGCAAATTTGTAACTAATCGCAATTAATCGATTAATCGCAATTAATAGCAAGCAATTAATTGAAATTAATTCCGTAATTAATTGAAAATTTTCAGTTGATTCTAATTGCATAGTAATTTAATTGCTCCTGCTACGTACTAACCTGATTTTAATAAATATATGTTTTCGAACGTCGCGTCATTTGCATATATCAATTTACATGTGCATATTGTTTCAAGATCGTGCATCATTACGCATAAATGAACCAAAGCAGAAAAAAAATATATATAGCTTTTTTTTTTGCCGGTGCAGCAGACACAACAAAAAAAACGCACCAAGAAATTTATTACTTTACAATCATGGTAATGATTAGATTTACAATGAATGAGTGGGTGAATGAATGGATGAATGAATGAATGAATGAATGAATAGGTGAATGAATTTAATGAATGGATGACTATGTTCTAGAAAGTGAATCCCAAAACACCTACTAAACGTGATCGAAAAAAAGTTGATCTCCAATATTACATTTTCTAGAAATTCAAAAAGGAAGTCTAAACAGTCATTAAAAGATTTTATATAACAGTGAAATTATCTCTTCTTATGAGGAATTTTGAACAATGCCCTTTTTATGTTTCTTTTCAATCTTTGGTGGACTCAAGAATTCATTATTGTAATTCTGTTTACCAATATTATTCCTTATGTCAGTATCAATAACATTATTAACATCAGTTCTGTCCTTCTGATTATATTGATCCCCTTTAACATTTCCAGGATTATTTTGTTTAACATTTTCAAGATTATTTTGTTTAACATTTCCAGGATTATTTTGTTTAACATTTCCAAGATTATTTTGGTTAACATTTTCAAGATCATTTTGTTCAATGACATTAATGCTAACAAAATTTTGATCTTTAGCATATCGGTTTGTTCTGTTCATGTGACTTTGATTTGATGGTGCACCGTTCACTATTTCCTCATTATCTGGCGCTATTTTTTGATTATTATTTTGGAAAAATAAAGATTTTCCTTGATTATTATTACTCCTAATTTTATTATTAGCAGCATCAGCAGCAAATTCCGAATTTGGACTTGGTAATGGAGCTAACAAATCCGAATTAAGACTAAAAGGTCTATCACTTGGAGTAGGAGATTTTAAGTTATTTCTATGAGATACGTGAGGATTTATATAAGCATGCATATAAGCAGGTTCCACAATTCGTTCTCGTGACATCTCAACCACGATTTGTTGATTTAATGCTTCGCCTATTAAACTTGTTTGACTTAATGGAGAAGTTGGAAGGTCATCATCATTTGGAGGAGATTTACTAAAAGGAGATTTTGATTTTGAATTTTTCTTTGATAATTTTGAAGAGGATTGTTTTTCAGAATTAGTTGGAAGGTCTACCAAAGCATGACATTGATAAATTAATTCATCTAAATTAGGAGTATCATGTTTGATCACATTCATGGGCTTCGAAATTTGTCGTTTTGGAGCAGATGAGACATCAATGGGAAAATCAGGATATATGATTGAAATTAAAGAGATGTACACGAACAATCTACCGAAATTTGCCGTTATGGACAAGAAATCAGTTAGAAAGCGGGAGTTACCAAAGAATTGACGAGATTGAGGGACGAACAATCTGTCAATCACTAAGAGAAGATAACTAATTGACCAAAGAAATATGGACATTGTTAACCAAATGTTTAGATCTTGGAAATGTTTTAATTTTCCTTGATTTTGAGAGATGCTTCGTGTAGGGGTTTTGATTAATTTTGAAATTCCAGATTGGGTTCTTAATCCAAGTAAAAATATTAAGAATGATAGAAAACTTGAAATTAGTTGAGGAAGATCTACTCTGTAAGACGGATTCACATTACAGATTATGAGGACCAGTACTAATACAGGAAATCTAAAATAATAAAATTTAAAGTACGAATTAGCATGTGAATTTAATAAATTTAATAAGTATATAAATTAAAAGATACAATACACAGGAATTAATAAGACGGCCAGCACCAAATAAGTCCAATATTCCCAAGTACTAATGAACTGTCGCCTGGACAATTGTTCCATGAGATAATTCCAATAGGCTTGCAAGGCCAGTAAGCATGTTCTATTAATTTACAAGATAAATTAATATCATTAATGTGCAGTACAAATATAAATAAAAACGCGTATGTATGCAAAGAAATCAGAAAGTTTCTCAGAAGCAACTAGTAGATCTGCCCCTGACCTATTGGTTACACGAAACAAATAATCAACAAAATGATTGATGCTTTTTTGTTGTACTAAAACAATTTGATTATTTGTTTATATTGATTATAAAGAAAATTAAGGAAAAAAATTCCATGAACGAGGACGATTGCTGCGGTATGAACATTCAAAAAAAGAAAAGAAAAAAAAAAAAATAGGAAAGAAAAGAAATCGAAACTCACGTTATAAAACTTATGGATATAGCGCTTAAATAACACGCGGCCACATTCAATTGTAAATCCAATGACGACCACATGGATTCAGGCTTTATCATTATCCATTGTTGAGAAATTCCAGACTGTGTCGAATTTGTATTGAGAGACACTTCTTGAGATCTGATATAATATATTATAACATCATTTCCCATTTGAGTAAGCAATGACAGGATGAATGAATATGTAAATAGGGAGCAAGGGTCTAAACGGATTAATCGGCGTATTGAAAAGGATTCCCATTGACTTATTTTCTTCGAACGTATGAGCATCCTATTATATAAATTTAATTAGAATTAAAATTTGAAAAGGTGAAAAGAATCTAAGAAAGAGATAATAAATTATTATTTTTTTTACCAGACTAGAATGAATGGAATGTAACATGCTCTCGCTATAAAAAAAAGTAATTAAATTAATGAATGCAATTCGGTTTGCTTTATAAAAAAAAGCGAAAACAGTGATACATACCAAGATAACTATTATCACTATATAAAACCATTATTATTTATTTTTAAAAAAGTTATTACGATTATCATCAAGAGGATTTTAACCCTTTTCTTGGAAGATAGTGCAGTACTCTAGTTTATAACGAAAATGACTTAAATTGATTTGAAAGATTCTTTTCAAAAAGATTATAAGTTATCTTCTTATAAAGTTGTCTTTTTTTTCTCTGTCAATAGTGAAATAAGAGAGCGACGTCCAAAAAATTATTAATGAGAAGGTAGCATTAATATAATAAAAATCAAGAGTGCGTATATCGTCCGGCGGTTGTAGAACTAATTTTTCGATGCACGTAGCAAGCGTTGTGAATTATTTATTGAGACTTGTACAGTTTTTATAAAAAAAAATCATGTATACAAATAATATACACGCATTATTAGCATTAGTACCATCATTAAATATCATTAATATATATCATTTATGTATTTTAATGGTTTGTTTTTTTTCGTGGCTAATGGGTTACCTTACAGAGGACTTAATTGTCTAACGTATATACCTAAAGCATTTATGCAAGAAGAATACTAATTACCGAATGGACACAAAGTAGTACAGGCAGAAAACAAAGAGAACAAGGTACAAACATATGTATGGACGCACATAAATGCGTGTAGATTAAAACAATCTATAATGCCAAAATAACAAAAAGATGCTATTCTATAGTATGTCTTTAGAGCTTACGTTATACGGATTGCATCTGTAAAATTCTTCATTTCTTTCGGAGATAACCTATTCCTATTTGAGATTGAGATGATCGAAATTATTGGGATATTTGAAAAAAAAAGCATGCTCTAGAAATGCCGTTAATGTAATTATTGGTAAAGAAATTATGAAACTTTTAATACGTACAGTATACGTATTATTTTCTGTTAATATCGATTACTACTAAGTTCCCTTATTAGTACGTTAGTGGCGTTAATACGTAGAACAATATAAAATCATTCAATTATGAGTACGTACGTACATTATTATTTAAATAATCTAGGTTTTATCTAACTTGTTGCTACTATGTCAGTATATAATGATGTAATAAAAGATTTCCGAGGATAATGTTGAAGAATTCGATCGCCTAATGCAGATTTCTTGTTAATGCAATTTATGCCATAACTATTTATCGTTATCCCTGAATAGATAAATTATGTAATTTATGCAAGTTTCCTGATCTCTACGGTCGATTATGTACTGTACGTATTTGTATTAGGTAGAATTTTAATTCAGCAATTGTTTCATTCAAAAAAGTTCTGCACTTACCGAATCTTAATCTGATAGTTACCTTACAAACCTAGTTCGCAATTATATTAGCGTTAGTGTCTCTAGATAATATGAAAGCTTTATCCATTAAATTTTTATTTTTTTTTTTTAAGACCGTTAAGATCATTGTTATACGTAATATGTGTGACTTAGAAACAGAATTACCAACAATTCAAATGATTCTCGACAAGTCTCGAAATGTTGTTAGTTCTCTTTTTTGGATAATATTCTGGTTTCATCGGAGTTTAACGCATTTTCTTCTAGGTTATGTCAATGGTAATCTGTACTGCTACTGATCGGCCGCGTAAACGGCCGATCGGTGGCAGTACAGATTATATAACCTAATATATACATAATAATATTCCCTAAAAAAAAAAAAAAAAGTCAATGCCATTGGGTTTAAATTTTAAAATGTAGCTTTAATATATTTATTAATATATAGTTATATATACAGTAGTTAATTTTAACCAAAATAGACCTTTTTTTGCTTATCATTTTATTAATATCCAATCATTACAAAAGTTGTCAATCATATAAGAGAAGAAATCTGTTACTTTTCTAAAGAAAACAGTTCTTTACAGAAACTTGAATATCTTAATACACAGTAACTGCACAGAGACTATATAGTTACTTTAAATTTAATAGTAACTATATATATAGTTACTATATTGTTAGATTTCTGTATAGTTGCTTTGATAAGTGTTTGCAATAAGTGAAATTAATTTAAAATGACAATAAGAAAAAATTCTTAATACAAATGAAAATGCTATACTTTCAAGTGTAGTATGAATACTAGTGAGATAAACGATTAAATAAATTCTAGCAACGAAGATTGTTGAATGTTTGTCAAAAATATTAGATAAGGTGCGTATACAAATACTATTTAAAATAGTTTTAATAAAAATAAAATTTTGCCTTTATATTTATTTCTAAATTACAACTTTTTTGTGAGCACAAATAATGTAAAATAATGTAGTTAATACAATTCATAATATAATCGAAAGAATTGACATTAGATGCGCAATAGAATTGTTAGGGCTTATATTATTATCATCATTTACCAAGGCTTTGGATTATTATATGACATACGGAAATTTATCTAAATGAACGTGTGGATGAAAAATTTCAATCGTATTTAAAATTTTGATTCCTGTAAAGACACAAAAAAGTACAAATATAGGTACAAAAAATGCTGCATGATAGGTAATGGTCACATGCCTCTTTTTTTTGAATGTCATTCAAGCAAAATCCCAAAAATAATACTGAATAATGCTTTTTTTAATTCTTTGTACATGATATTCCAACATAAGCTGTACTAATATTCACAACGATTTTGATTTAAAAAACTTCGAGATTTTACGAGATTTTTGATTGTTGAATAAGGGAATTACATAGAATAATGGAAGAATATAATTTCGCATGATAATTCAATATGTTTTTGTATCAAATATTAAATGTGTTACTTACAGATATTGTTTGCTCTCGCCGAAAAATTGTTAGTTATTAATGCATACTACTTAAAAATTAAACTAATATATCAAATATACTAACCAATATTACCTAAAGTGCATGTTATTTATGTTATTTTAAGACACACATGGGGAGATTGTATAAAAAATAGCATTAAACTAGCACAATTATTTATAAGAAGTTTCAATAAAGTAGCTCTCTAGAACTGGACGAACATCTTCCATATTGTAAATGCTATGCCAATTTGCGGTGCTTTATTTGACATCATAATGGTTGTTATAATATGCAATTTTATACAAAGAAAATGAAATTTATTAAATTTAAAAAAAAATTCTTTTCTTATTTGAGTATTGCTAAAAGAAAACCTGAAAATTTAAATATAATGTCATATTTAAATTTTCTAGGTTTTCTTTTAGCAACACTTATTTATAATACTAATTTATAATCGATAGTTATCCACTTAATAACTGTAACAAATTAAAATGAAATTGGATTAAAATGAAAGTTTTTTATTTGTTAAGAAAAATTTAAAATTTTTTGGGGTCATTTTTTGAGGTTTTTTTTAGCACTTGGGTTAGGGTTTAGGGTTAGGGTTATTAATAAACAAGTATATGTGGATTTTATAAGTTTTAAGGGTGAGCAAGAGAGATCACCAGTTTTATTTTAATCTGATTTCATTTTAATCTGTGATAATAATTATTAGAGAAGTAATTATCAAGTATATATAAATAGTTGTATTAGAGAGTACTGTTGTTGCATTCTATTAATTTTTAAATCTAT